AAATACAAAATAAAAAATGAATAAAATTGAGAATTTCAAAATAATTTTAAATTAAGTAGAATTTCAAAATATAATTAATAAAATGTAAAAAAATAAAATTAATGGAATAACCCTAATAATCAATAAAACTTAATTAAATTAAATTAATTAACTGAGGTTGATTAAATAGTTATTAGTTTCTTAATTACATTAATTAGCTTAACAAATTTAGTTCACTTAGAAAATTATTATATAATTAAAATGATTATCTGAATAATAAGATAATTATATAATTAGTTAACTAATTATAACTTAATTACTAAAGCTTATTTAATTAGTTAACCAATTAATTAATAACACAATAAATTAGTTAACTAATTAAGTTAATAATGTAATAAAAAATATAGATAAGAATAATATAAATTAGTGAAAATTGTTTTAGTATAATTTTATTAATAAAGTTTTATTTAAAAATAAAGCTAACACAAATTAATACATGTTTATTAATAAAACAACACAAAATAAGAAAAATTTAGTTTCAAAATTAAATTTTATATTTTGATAACTATTTAGATTTCATCTAAAAAATAAAATGACCCTAAAAATTTTGTTAATAGAATTAAAAAATTAACAAAATTATTAGTCTTAAACTTAATTTATAGGGTARATTGCAAAGACCCCCTTGTACTATGGGATTTGTGACAAAGACCCCCTATACATTGTTTTGCGACAAAGACCCCCTGTACTATGACCATGAGACAAAGACCACCCTCGACCATTAAGTCAGATGACAGAATGCATTAAATTACCGAAATACCCCACTCAATGTTTTTTATTTTCTTTTTTTGTCCTTTTTCTCTTAAAACCTATTTAATTCCTTTCTTCTCTTCTTTTCCCCTCCCTCACCGTACTCTCTCATTCTTTCTCTCTCCCAACTCTCTAAAATGAAAGGACGGAGGAACCAGCAGAGGGACTTGTAGTTGACGGAGCCCAGCTCTATCTGGGCTGACTTCTGAGTCCTATTACAAAACAAAACTTGTATACACATATATCAAATTATCAACGAGTGACTCACTGAGTTAGGTCGGCAAACTGGGTTGTTGCCTAGCTTAAAGTTGGTTTTCTAAATTATAGATCAGGTAATGACATGTTTTCTTCTTTTTTTTTTTTTTTCTCTCTCGCTTTCTCCATAATGTGAAGTTGCAGAGAAAGAAGTGATAAAAGAGACTCAGATAATGTGCAATGTGTCGGAACGAAGATTGGATTTTTGTGAGGTCGACGGAGATGTTAGAATTCAGGCAAACTCCTCCATCATCTTTGCGGTTTCACCATCTCAAACGGGTATTCCGGAATCGGCAGGAAATGACTCAAGGGCTATCCGACCATATGCTTGGAAAGGAGATAAAGCTGCGATGGGAAGCGTTAACCAGTTGTGGGTGAAATCATTTGCCGGTCATGAAGAAGCAGCCCCTCAGTGCACGCTAAATCACAACGTTCCAGCCATAGTTTTCTCCACTGGTGGATACACTGGTAACAATTTCCATGAGTTCACCGACACACTAATTCCTCTTTTTATTACTTCTCGCCAATTCAACGGAGAAGTTCAGTTCGTCGTAACCGATTACAAAGCTTTCTAGGTGAACAAGTATCAAGTAACCGATTGCAGCACATGGATGGTTGAAGTCACCGTCCTTCCGTCCTTTTTTTCTCTCTCATTCTTTCTCTCTCCCAACTCTCCTCCTGCAGCACTTGCGCAGCCGGAGCCGGAGCCACCTCCCCTGCAACATCGGCACACTACCTTCTTTCGCCGCTTCATCGCCGCAATTTTTGCTGTGTTCCTCATCATCGGCGCCATCACTTTCATCGTGTGGCTCGTTCTCCATCCTCATGTACCTGAGTTCCGAGTCGATTCAGTCTCCGTTTCCTCTTGGAACCCTAACAAGAACATGAGCGTTCACTCCGCAATTTCACGGTGGCGGGGCTGCGTTTGAGGACGACTTGAAAGTTTTTGGTTAGGGAAATAGGCAAATGGAGAGACAGAGAGAGATCTGAAGAAAGCAATAACGGAGAGAGAGATCAGGATTGAATTAAATGGATTCAATCCCGACGCTGTTAAGGGGAAGGGCAAGAAGAGAGATCGGGGGAGAGAGAGGAGAGAGAGAAAGGGAGAGAGAGAAATGTAAAGGAATAGAAGGATAGTATCCGAAGGTCGGGGAAGATGAACAGTGTGGGGATTAAAAAATATTGTAACGGCATTTTGGAGGGATTGCGGGAAGGGGGTTTTTGTCTCATTGTCATAGTACAGGGGGTTTTCTTACAAAACAAAGTACARATGGGTCTTTGTCAYATACCTCATAGTACAGGGGGTTTTTGTCACAAAACAAAGTACAGAGGGGTCTTTGTCACTGACCCCATAGTACAAGGGGGTCTTTGTAATTTGCCCTAATTTTTATTAATTTAAAATCCCCTAATCCACTAAATCAAAATTTAGTAAAAGTTAAAACAATTTAATAAAAAAATAAAAACTAATGCAATTAGGAAAGTCATAATGCTATTTCTTCGGGTGCAACTTGGTTGAGTTGGATTGGGTTGAGGATCAACCCAAGCCCAATCGTAAGTCTCAAACCTCGACCTTAGGCTTAGCCCAACTTAAGGTTAAGTTTGAGTGTACCAATTGAGGCCTAACTTGAGGTTATCGCAAATCTCAGGTTGGACTTAGGCTTGGGTGTTTGTAGCCCAATTTTTAGGTAGAAGAGATTGATGATATGCAAATATGTATGTCAAAATGTTGGGTGGGCTCAAATTGGGTCGACTCGGGTTGGGTCAGGTGATCCAAGGCCTCAATTCATGCCCAACCTGAATTTAGGTTAGGCTTAAGCTTTTTTACCAAGACCAACTTGAAGTTCGAAAACTTGAGCCCAACCTATGCAAAAGCTTTGGTTGAGTTGGGTAGGGCTCGAATTAGACTATTTTAAGTTGCACCCCTATCTCTTTTTACTTTAAATTCTTTTAACAAAGCCTATGCATTGTACGGGTCCCTGCTAGTTAATCTATATGGTAAGACTTGAACTAGACCATACTTTGAACTAATGACTTGGTGACCTGATAGGCTTTTAAAGGTCACCTGACCATGAGATTAAGTATGAGTAAAACAGTGATTGTGAGTTTTCTGATTTTTGGCCCGGTCTGAGTCCAACAACATTAATTGGAGATCGACTTCAGCGCTCATAAGATCGATGTCGCACAGCCCTTAAATCTGTGCAAACGGTTCAAACGGTTCGAATAATTAATCAGCCAGTTCAGCAGTTTACTTATCAAAATCAATAGTTTTGAGGAAAAACAAAACCGATCAAATGATCGATTCCCGAAGAATTGTAGAGTTCTTTGGTGGTCAATACACCCACAGCTTACTCTTTCTGTAGCTCATCCACACCCGCACCCGCACTCTCCCAGTCTCCCTGCTGCGAGTCTAGTGTCCCACGATTCTACGATTCTAGTATTAATTAATGAACCCTACCTGATGTTACAAGCTAATTGTCAGTTCAGATGAGTTGCAATTCCTATCTGTTTTCAATTCCAAGAAAGCATTCCTTATTTTAAGAATTTATCTCATTTTCGCAGTTAAAACTCAATATTCATAGGGTAGTAAAAATGAGATAAATTTTAAAATAAGAAATGCCAAATGCAGCCTAAACTACAAATCTCTCACGATAGTTTTGGAAATTGGACCGAATCTCATGGTCGAACCATTTGAACTGAGAATTGATCATGGCTCTAGGTCATTTTGGACCCAGGAACTTACTGCTTGACCAGAATTTGTAGTGGACAGTTGGACCATTTAACCCAGGAACCGATGGTCAAAGCAGAATTTGGAGTGGATTGCAACCAGAATTCAATAACACCAAAACAACACACATTATGCTATTATTTTTTTATGACATATTTCTGTATGCTCACTCTGATAAAACATATAAGGGCCCATTTGGTTCATAGGAATAGGAGTTTGGAATTCCGACTTCAATTGTTTGATTGGGTGGAATCGGAATCTTATTCCCATTCTTGGTGAAATGCCATTCCCCCATTTAAGGGGATGGTCATTCTCTCACCCTCTTTTAACAACTAACTTCCATTTCAACTGATTCTAATTCTTATTCTGATTCTGATTCTTGTTTGAACCAAACAGACTATAAGAATAGAGCATTATAATTCCAATTGTGAACCCAACGGACCCTGAGACAAACTRGCTAGTAAGCAGAGTTTGAGGGATGTTAGACTCGGATTGGATTAAAAAATGGAATGCTTTATGGCCAGGCCACGGTTTTTTGTTAATCGGATGAATAGCTCGTTCAACTCGTGAAAACTGTCATTTAACTAGGACCTGGAAAGGCCACCCGTTTCTAGTTTTTATGGTCCAACCATCCGGTCTGATCCAAGCGTTACAATAGTGGTTTGAATCAGGCCAAAAGTTATTAAACCCATGGTTTTCAAAACTGGACCAGATGGGATGGTCGGACCGGAAAAAACCAAGAACCGGTCAGGTGACTGGTTCTGTTTTACTCCAGAACCATTATTTTGCCAAAAATCGTTGATTTGGTCAACAAACCACTAACTCAGGTGGTCAAACCATCTAAACCATTCGAATCATCCAATGGTTTTGACCATTTTTAAATTTTTTTGTCAGAATGGACTATCCATTCGGTTCGAACGATCGGACCATTCAACCCGGAAACCGGACCCTGACTGATTCATTGTCCGGTTCGATTTTAAAAACGTTGATTAAACTATGCATGTTTAATTATCATCCTGTGCTTGAATGAATACAAAGAAGTAATTGAGGAACCAAGACTTTTCACAGATATATTCATCATTACTTGACGGTGGCTATGCACATGGTGTCCGTAGAAAGATTGAAATTGAGCTGCTAAATTCCGACAGTGATCAATTAAGAACAGTTGAGGACCTCCAAGGCTCTAACCTCACCATTAAGGAAAAAAGAAGAAAATATTTCGCCCCATCTCTTCTTATAAAACGGACATCATTTGTATTGGTGGCATAGCAAATTTTGATCTGCGTTTTCTTTACCACTTTCTCTTCATGGCTGTGTTCAGTGCAGTGCTGCTTCTTGGGCTGTTAATGGCTTCCTCAAACATTGCAGGTAGATCTCTCTCTCTCCCCACGCCCTCATCTACCTACTAATTAGAGGCTCTGTCTGACTTCTTAATTCCATTGGTAATTATAAATTTCTTCAGAGTATATTCAAATTTTTGCTGCTTTAGTTGTTTTATATTAATTTAGTAGAATTACTTTATTTATCAAAAAATCATTGTTCACTAAAATTTACTTCAATCTCTCTTGCATGGATTTATTCTCCAGAAAATTCGAAAATTTTAAATTCGGTGCTCGAATCCTCCACACCCAGATCTCAGTAACCTAAGAATTGGTTCTACCAACTGATGGGAAGGGGCTAAGGCTGCATTTGGCATCTCAGTAACCTAAGAATTGGTTCTACCAGCCTACGTCGTCTGGTTGGTTGTAGCAGAGATTTGAGATCGAATAAATGTAAAACAAAAAATTAAAAAATAAAATCACAATTGGTCCCAAAAAACCAAGTCCAAATAGCATTTTCATGTTCTAATTATCGCATATTTACCGATCCCTTCCCAATAAGGACCTTAAATCTGATGTTAACTTGGTTGTAACTGTGGTCTTGAACGAAGTATGTTTATTTTCTCTGAGTGAGGGAGGAGTTATACCAAACTGGACTTACCACCACCGGAGGTTGCGTTCGTGCTTTTAAAGTCCAAAAGCTGAAAGGCACAAAACCCAACTTTTGGTTTTATGTTTAGGGGTTAAAAAGCAGCTCTGATTTCCTACCCACATGAACTTTATGTTTAGGTGTGGATAGAGATGTTGTTGGTGGAAGGAGATCCAAAGTAGTTAAAAAGTATTTTTGTTTTTGTTTYAGCTCTATGGAGCAATACCATGGTTTCTAAAATCGGACCGGACYGGAAATACTAGGAATCGGTTCTCTGACCGGTTTTATTTTCTTCCAAAACCATTGGTTTTGGTCAGTAAACCATTGAACCGGCCAGTTAATCRTTTAAACGGTTTTATYTATTTTTCAATTTTTTATTTTTTTTGTCAGAACGARCTGATCGTTCGAACCGATAATCAGACCCCTAACCGGTTCGATGTTAAAAACCATGAGCTATACAACCGGGGTAGGCAATCCCCCAAATCCATATATAATCTCCAATTAGATGGAATTTGATTCCAAGTCTCTCAATAGGAGTCAACCAGCTATTGGTAACTTGCCATCTTGGCTAAATTGTTATGGTTGTAGAAATACCTCTTATCAGGCGCTCAAAACAAAAGCTTATACAAACGAAGCCTTAACTAGTCCATAAAGACTTGTGTTGATTTTTCCCCAAATAATGGCCACAGTCAAGTTGACCCTTGTGGACTTAATTAGTGAACAAAGTTACATCATGGTCAATAGTAAAAGCCTTGGATCGTGTGAGTGGGACCTCATCTCCAAAACTTCGTTTTGGAAGCTGTATTTTTCCATTTTTATTTGTTATTTTTGTTTTAAAGAGAAAAAGACTTTTGGACGTTGGGCCTAATAATTTTATGGCTCTTTTAGCGCCATCATTTACATGAAAACAAACAGACCTTAGGATTTATTCCTTTTCTATAGAAGAAAATGCAAAATATTAAAAGTATTTAGGGTCTGTTTCGTTTATAATCAAAATCAGAATTGAAATCCTTGGGAATCCGAATCRAAATGAAAATTAGAATTAATTGGAATGGGATTTCATTCCCAATAAAGAGGGAGGGAATGGTCCTTCCCTCAAATGGGGAAATGCCATTCCTGTAGAAATGRAAATAAGATTCTGACTCCATCCAACCAAACAGTTGAAATCAGAATGACTCATTCCAATTTCGATTCTAGACTTTTATTCCCGCAAAACAAACGAACCCTTAAAAGAGCTCAAATGGGTGATGCTTGATTACAAAGAAAAAAGRGTGATATATTATTATTGTTAGTATTATCTATGCTTTTGCAACCCTATAACATGCTACTTTTCCAATAAGATGGCTACAAATGGTATATCTATTTACTGAGCCTGCCTTCTAAATTGAATGAATTCAAATGAACCACATGTGCGGTCTCATCTGTTGGTGTTGGATACTTGGATCCTTGTGACATTACGAGGAAAGTATCTCTGTATTACCTAATTATTGTGAAACAAAGAAGACTTATTTGGGAGGGAGATGATGAGGAATCCGAAGCACCTGTAAACAAAACAAGCACATCTCATACATATGTTAGAAGTTTGGCACATGTTTTATTGGTAGAAAATCAAGCTCAATAGCTTCTTAGTWTATTAGTAGCTCCATCCTTATAAATCCTTATATATCGCATCTTACCCGTGGATTTAATATTGATCCACGGTTAAGATTTATCCCACCTGTAAGGTGAGGCTAAGATTTGTTATAATGGACTGAATAATAAAGACCCTTTCATTTAATTTGGGCAGGTAGAAAACTTTGGACTATGTGCCAAAATTATTGTCATTATGACTTTGTTTATTAGAGCCAGATTGCAAATGGGTACCAATTCTTAAATTCAGCCTAGTTTCTCTTTATCCATTAATAACTTGTGCATGAATTCTCTTCCAAAGACATTACAGGTCAGCTATTATTTTGCTACTATCACTCCCATTTTGATTTATAGAAGAGGAAAAAAGTCAACATACAATAATGAAGGGGAAACAATAGTCTGCATATAGGGATTAATAATAATATAGCCATATACGGTGTCCTATTGTTCACCATAATGGCACATTGAAACCCTCTACCCACCCATATGGGTTGTCGCCGGAGACGGCATTAATCTTAATTAGACCCAAACTTGGACATACCAATGTTTTAACCCGTTGACCTGGTTGGTTAGACCATTCATTCTGTCCGGTTCTTATCAACTTGCAAGTTGAAACATGCTATATCATTGACTTGACCAACGATGATTCATATAAATTTGAATAGTTGAATCATTGACCCATTTGAACATTCACACGGTTAATGATTTTTTATATGATTTGGACTATGATGGAAAAAATATAATATTCGAAAACAATAGGCTAATAAACTAAAATCACAAACGTGGTAACAGATGTTATTTATCAAAATCCATGGGTGAGTTTTAATTGATCAAAACTCTTTCAGTATCATATTTTTCCCGCATCACAGAATTTTTTAAAAAATATTTATTTTGCTTTCCTAATCGTTGCTTCATTATAATGTAACAAACTGACCCATTGACCTAGATAGTAGTGATGGGCCACTAACATCTCTGTCAGTTGTAACTATCTACTAAAATTTGGGCCCCCACATATTGTTCCTTGTGGGCGGTCACAAGTCTAGAATTTATATCTATATAAATATACTAAGCTAAAATATGTATATAAGAAGGCATGAGGATGAGGGAAATTGAATTTTACGGTATTTTTTGCTTTTAYAGAAATTATAAGAATACCACTCTCTATCAATTCTCTCTCTTTTGCTTTTTTTTCTTTCAAATTACAACAGTGCCACTCTCTTATCAACTCTCTCTCTCTCTCTTGCTTTYTTTTCTTTTAAATTACAACAATGCCACTCTCTCTCCTATCAACTCTCTTTCTCTCTTTTTCTTACAAATTACAAGAATGCCATCTCTCTCTCTCTTGCCATCTCTCTTTCCTTATATAATTACATGAATGCCACTCTCTCTCCAATTGAGGGAGACCTTAGCTCGGCATCTCAACTACTAGGGGACCTACAATCAAAGGTAGTCGAGTTCGAGCCAAGCCGAGCTTGAACTTCTGACATCAAGCTCAAGTCTCTAATTTGAATCGAGTTCGAGCTAAATGACACCTCGACCACTGAGGGAGACCTCGGTTCAGCACCTCAGTCACTGAGGGAGATCTCGACTCAGACTTCGACAAATAAGGGAGACCTAAACTCGACACATTGTCAACTAAGGGAGACCTTAACTCAACACTTCGCCTGCTAGGGAAACCTCAACTCGACACATCAACAGTTGAGGAAGACCTCGATTTGGCACCTTGGAAATTGAGGGAGATCTCGTCTCAACACTTCGAATGCTTGAGAGACCTACAATCAAAAGTAGCCGAGCTCAAACTTACAAGGTTTTGACTTGAGCTGAGTTGACCTCGAGCTCGAGCTTAAGTCTCTAATTTGAATCGAGCTCGAGCCTRATAGTTTATGAGCGAGCCCCTACAACGCAAGGCCCCCTCCACTACTTGTCCTTTATGCATGAATTGAATAATATCCAAAAAGGTAAATAATATTTACCACCACACAAGGTTTTAAAAACTGGATCGGACATGAAACCATTATAGGGACTTGTTCCTGAGTTGATGGGTCCGACCATCTAGTTTGAATGGATGGCCTAGACTTAAAAAATTCAAAAATAAGTAAAACAAAAAATACCAAAAACCATTGTCCAGATGGACAATTCGACCACCTGCAGATCCTCAACCAAATCAACGGTTTTTGGCCAAAAAGCGGTATTAGGGTGAAACAGAACTGATTACCTAACTGATTCCCAAGTCAATCAGTCCAACCGTCTGGTCCAGTCCGATTTTCACAACCATGCCACCACAATCTCCTTCAGTAGCAGTTAAGTCCTTGGTGTGACATAAGCTCTGTAACATGAAAGGGTTGGCTTGCTCTGGCCAACCCATCAGATCATTTTATACCGTTGAAGTTGAACTTAACTACCATCAGCTAATCCTCGCTGAATGCATTGCAGATGCACAACAAATTGGTGTTTGCTATGGAATGCTAGGAAACAACTTACCATCCAAAAATGAAGTTGTGGAGCTCTATAAAATAAACAACATACAGAGAATGAGACTCTATGATCCTAACAGAGAAGCTCTCCAGGCTCTTAATGGCTCCAACATCGAACTCATGGTGGGCATCCCAAACGAACAACTTCAACTCATGGCATCCTCCGACCCCACTGCTGCATATTCCTGGGTCTTTGAACATGTGTTTCTCAACAGAGATGATGTTAAATTCAAGTACATCGTCGTTGGAAATGAAGTCAGTTTTGCCGAATTCAAATACATCCTCCCTGCCATGAGAAACATTTACAGTGCACTTGAATTAGCTGACTTACAAAACCAAATCAAGGTGTCAACTGCAGTTTTCTCTGGGCACATTTCTGAAACCTACCCACCTCGGAATTCCGTGTTCAATTCTCAAATTCGGCCATTCATGCGGGAAATCGTTGCCTTCTTGCTCGAGAAACAAGCACCACTGCTTGCTAATGTGTATCCCTTCTTCGCTTATCTGAGCAATCAAGMTCAGATWCCGTCTGAATACGTCTTCTTTACATCCCCAACAGTGAATGAAATCGGATACCAGAACCTTTTCGATGCCATGCTTGATGGTTTCTATTATKCTCTTGARAAGGAGGGAGGGTCCTCTTTGGAGATTGTTGTATCTGAAACTGGTTGGCCAAACGCAGGTGACTCCATATCAACCACAGAAAATGCACAGAAGTACTACTCCAACCTGATTCGGCATGTGAACTCAGGAAAGGGTACTCCCAAAAGGCCTGGAAAGCCTATTGAAACATACCTGTTTGCAATGTTTGATGAGAACCAGAAGCTTGGAGATGAGAGGGAGAAACACTTTGGGCTTTTTTCTCCAAATAAAAAGCCTAAGTATCAAATCAGTTTTCCATAGAGTAGAGTGACTGCAGAAGAATGTGACAAGGGGTCCTGATCTAATGTATCATCTTAAATAAGGGTTACTACTTGAATTCTTGTGCTTGTATCGATATCCCCGTACTGAAGTCCAGTAAAACTTGTAATTTGTCTTGGACGGTGGTTTGAATTTCTCCATTAATGAATTGGAATAAAATCCTCAAGGCATTTATGTTTTGGGATCGTCTCATTATTGTATATTCAACAAAACACAAACATCAAACTGGTTTGCTTTTGGCCATGCGCATAGTTAACTGCCTACTTTACTAACCAGTGAAAAGGGTTTTGACATGTATAGATATAAATAGTTATAATAAAAGAAAAATAATTCGACTTGGTCATTTTGGGGGTATTCTATAGCGTAGATGAGAATTGGGTAATGCATTTTCATCATGTGGTGTGGATGATAACTAACAACACTCAAAATACACCCTAACAAAGTAGTTGCTCTACACTGTAAACAAAATGTGTGGATTGATCCACACCTTCATGGGCGTTCTGCAAGGTGTGGCATATTTCAGTCTATACATTGTATTTGATTCTATGCATCTCAGCTACAACATTTGAGATAATCTGTCGTTAATCATTAGAAAAACAATATATTATTTTTGTAATATACACAATAAAGAAATATTAGTAAATTGCTAAGAAGTTTAATAGTTAATAGAAAAAAAATATTAGTAATAATTAATAATATTAAATAACAAATAATGATATTAGTATTAAATAAAAATGGGTAGTAATATTAAGGGTAATTGATAAAATTAACAACAATTTTAATAATATATCATAATAATTAATAATATCAATACCAATTAATATTAATAAAAGTAATATTTGAAACTTAATAATTAATAAAATAATATTAATAATAATTAATCCAATCTGATTAATAATCGGATTGGATTCGGATTTGACTCCATTCGATCTGGTTAAAATATGAAACCAATTATTATAATATTTACTAATTTTAATATATAAATTTTATATTATTATATTTAAAATTATAAAAATATATTCTATATAAATTTATATATAATAATTTAGTATGTTATATTTATATTAATTTATTATATATAAAAGTTGAAAAATAAATGAATTTTATTTTTCTAGTATTTTAGAAAATTTATAGTGGAGTCGGGTTAAATCTGAATATGATCAGAGTCCGTTAGGATTCGAATTCGAATCCAAGATGATCGGATTTATATGTAGGTTCTCAATAATCAGATTGAATGTGGGTATTGTTGCATCCAATCTGAAGCAATCCGATTATAACCATAGTTCAAATAGCAAAGAGTAACAATGACGAGTAGAGAAGAATAGAAACGACAAACTCACAAAGAAGTGTTGCAAAGGTAAAAAAGAAAAGAGGTCTTATATTAGGGTTAAACATCCATGCGAAATATAGGATCGTTATTCTATATGCAAAATAGTGTGGTGTAAATGCTACCACGGAATAAACCCATGAATGAGAAAATAGACTATGAGGCRAAGTAATCCATGAGATAGCATGGATCAGTCCACACCACACAGCCAACCGAATGCATGGCACAAGTGTGAATTGAAAGTAAATATATCATGGTCAATCTACACCACTGAACACCACCTTTATGTTGAAAGTGGATTTAGCTAATTAGGCATATGATAGAATTGATTTGCATTTCCTTCGTTTTTTTTGTAAAGAAAAATCAGAATTTAGAACAGGATCGGACTACAAAAAAAATCACAAAGCTTCACATAACAAGCAACAGTCTTCGCAAAAACCTAGTCTAAAACAACAACTGAAAAAGCATCAAAACAAACCATTGATCACCGGGGCTCTCAAAGCCCGTCCAATATGGACAAGACTAGCAGCTGGCCTTAACTCTTCCTCCTCTCCCTCTACCCCTTACCGCCTTCTTCCCTCTAACGTCTTCTATCACTGTGTCATCCACGTAAAACTGTTTGAACGTTCACAACTTTCTACTTTTGGGGAGTCCACAGAACTTGAACCCCCCACTACCTGCCAAAAAGTCTTCTTCATCACTATCAGCTCTACTTCTCTCTCGTGCCTTCTTGGSTTCCATGATTCCATCTCAAACCTTCATAAGACTTCTCTAGCGAATTTTTCCCCACCCAAGAAATGCAAGCCCAGCAAGGCAGCGACATTGCCACCTGAAAATCCTTCTCTACATGGATTCTACAGACATGGACTCTTCCTCTGCTACATCCTTCTCTACCTCTTTGCTTTGCTCTGGGTGGGCTTACTCTAACAAAAATCTAGGCTGTATCAACTTCTTTCCTTTTTTCCCCATTGAAACTGAGGCAATAGCCTCCTGTTCTTCGTCTTCCAAGATAAGAAAGGAGTTCGAGTCCTGATTTCCAGAGACTTTTTTCTCTAACTCCACCCAATATCACACTCTCCTATCTCCGTGCTTCTTGCAAAGCAACCTCAAACCAGCCCTTTTTGCATTTCCCCTGGCTAGAAATAAACTTCTCAAATTCCTGATCAACATGGAGTGCAATTTGGCTCGTCTAGGAGCCGTGGCTGCTTTTAGCCGATCCCAAATTGTTGAAGTCGAGACAAGCATTAGGGTGGCCACAAGTCGAGATTCTCACGAGCTATTCGAGTTCGGTTTGGATTCATTTAAATTAAGCTTTGAGCCGAACTCGAATTCAGTGAAGGTTGGCTCGTGAGGCTCGCGAGCCTAGTATAATAAATAAATATTTTTATTATATACTTGCATACATAAATATATGCATATGCATATAAATATATAATAAATAATTTRTATTTTATATATAACATTTTTATTTTTTATGTATAATAGTAAACAATTTTTATAATTCTTATTGTTTTGTATGTAAAATAAAAATATTTTTACATGTATATTTTTTATTTTTTATATGTATAATAATAAATAATTTTTATAATTCTAAATTTTTTGTATGTAAAATAAAAAATATTTTTATATGTATATTTTTATTTTTTTTTAAATTGACTTGCAATCGAGCTTGAGCTCAAGTTTCTAGATGGAATTGAGCTGAAATTGACTTCRAGCCTAATACAGTTTCAGCAAGCCGAGTTCGAATAATCAAGTATTCGACTCGGATCGGCTCGTATCCACTCCTACTAAGCATCCCTCAAAACTTGAACCCCCCCTTTTCTCGACCAACCCATCGCCTGTCACTTAGCATGGGCCCACATRCTCATCCCCCTGACTCCCTCCTTCAAACACCCAAGGCCCTATTGGTCATGCCAAAACAACCTCATGTGCTCCAGCATTAATTGGCCCATGGGCCCAAGAAATTGGTCTACACTTGGAACCTTTTGGCCTCGAGGTCCCTGCACCTGAGATTCACATTTGTAACTCCGACGAAGCCTTGGAGGTGTTTCCTAGTTCCCTGAAGGCTTTCAGGCACTAGGAATGAATCGGTAAGACGAAGACTCTCAATCTCCATGGTTGGTTCCTCTGCTGGTGCAAACTCTCTGTAGGCCCGATGCCCACCGAAATAGAGATAGTGCTCTACCTCCGTTTCAATATGGGCTTCCCTCTACTAACTGCATAGTTTGTATCTGTTTTCAAGACAATTAGGAAGCGACCACTCGACAGAACACAGAAGCCAGAATTCCGGTCACGCTTACAATTCAATAACCAAGCTGCCTGAGGTTGCAACACCGATATTTGAGAGCACTCCCCTTCAATTTCTACGATCAAGCATCTTTTAAGCCATCTCTCTTTCTATCACCCGAGACCTGGCGACACAGACTCTGAACCTATTGGAGTTATGCAAACCAATGCTTCACAAGTCTCTAAGAAGCCAAAAATTACTCCCTTCGATTTCTCCGATGCTTCATCGGTTCCACAGTGTCTGGTAAGACACTAGTTCAAGGTTGGGAAGAGTACACCTGATAAGGTCTCGTTAGCTTTTCGGTAATTGAGTTATTTATCCGGGTAAATTATCTACCCGTGTAAATGTTTCTCATGTTCTTTTGTTTCCCAGGTAAATAAGATAATGATCATTTTAATCATAAAATTCAATTATTAAAAGGGTGCATTTTTGTCCCATCAAAGTGTTGACAACTTTATCTCAAGTGGGANTTTTTATTTGGGTAAGATATGTCTTGAACTGTGAAGTGTCACTTTAGTAGGATCATGGTTGCTATGGTTGGAATTTAAGGCTTGCCACCATGGCCTTTTTTTTGACTGATTGAGCTGAGATGAGATTCTCGATCACATTGTGGTGACGATTCTCGATTGCCGTGTCCACGATTTTGTCTCCAGTTCATCTGGACCAGATATTATTAGTGTGAGTGATCTCCATAGTGTTGAAATGCACTTATCCATGTAAATGCACTTATTCAAGTGTGTGTTTTCTATGTTCTTTTATTTTCTAGGTAAATAAAACAGTGACCATTTTAGCCATAAAAATCAAATATTATNTTTTTATTTGGGTAAGATATGTCTTGAACTGTGAAGTGTCACTTTAGTAGGATCATGGTTGCTATGGTTGGAATTTAAGGCTTGCCACCATGGCCATTTTTTTGACTGATTGAGCTGAGATGAGATTCTCGATCACATTGTCGTGATGATTCTCGATTGCCGTGTCCATGATTTTGTCTCCAGTTCATCCGGACCAGATATTATTAGTGTGAGTGTTCTCCATAGTGTTGAAATGCACTTATCCGGGTAAATGCACTTATTCAAGTGTGTGTTTTCTATGTTCTTTTATTTTCTAGGTAAATAAAACAGTGACCATTTTAGCCATAAAAATCAAATATTATATAAAATGGGCGCTTTTTTGTCCCATCCAAGTGTTGGCAACTTTCCCTCAAGTGGGAACGTTATTTACTTACCTATGAGATGGGTATATACTCAAGAAACTAAATTTTTTCCCCGTCCCCACATAAATCTGAAAAAGGAACATAGGCTTATTGGTCAAGAGTTTGGCTTCTATCAGGGCAAGTTGGTGCTTGCACCGTTCAAACAGCCCCATGCAACCTTACATTGCAAATATCTCCCATGAAATAAATCACATAACTATGGAGATATTCCCAACACAAGGCTGTAAAGGCTGTTGGAACAGGCTTTGCCCTGACTGAAGCCGGAATCCTTGGTCAATGGGGACCAAAATCCCATTGACCAACTTTCCCCTCTTAAAATCCAAAAA